TATTTTTTGTGCATATTGTCAATTTTAAATGCATGGCTGTAAGCATATATTTAACTTTTTAGTGAGTGAAGTTCCGGGGTGCATGAAGTATACAATTAACCACGACGAGTTGCAGACCTAAAATATGAACATACACCACAAATGGCATGGATACCTGATGATGGGTTGAAAGCCACCTGAAACTTTGTGTTATAGAAACAATATTATACATTTTTAATAATAATTTTAAATGTCATGTGATCTTTTATTGAAAGTGAATGGCTGTTTCAAAGAAAAAGTAATGACAGAAGTTATGTATAAAACACGATTGTATTTTGTAATTTCCAAAGCATTTAAAAATATTTGTATATTTTGTAACTAAAATACTTTTATGGCAGTATTTTGCGTTTGATATTTAAAATTCTTCCGGAAAGTATTTTTGTATTTTGTATCGGAAATACATTTTTCAAGTATATTGTCGAACCCTGAGTGTCGGTATTCCACATAAATCGGAAGTTTCAGAAATTCTCTCCCTTGAAAAACGTTTTTCTGTTACCAATTAGAGCCGAAAAGCGGGCCATTTTCAAAATAAAACGGAGAATTCATGAAGAATTGCATAAGAACAAAAATTACTTCCATTTCCATACGTATATTACAAAATTTACATTGCAAATAACACGGTAATCCTATAATTAAAATTATTAAGTTCTACGTATATACTAAAAATAAAATAAAAATATTAAAATGTATTAACTGGGATTCTAACTGGAAATAAAAATAAATAACAATAAATAATAATTCTTTATTGCAAAATTTTCTCTTACAAATCCACACACATTCTAAAAAATAAAAATAAAATAATGAGTCAGGATATGACAAGGAAGAGATAGGAAAGATCGCGCGCGGTCCGTGGCTCGTTTGTTAGGTGGTTAGAGCGAGATAAGTGTTATATTTAACATGTCTTTTTTATTGTATTAATCTAAAGATAAAAGGTTCTTCTATGTTCTGGTACAGTTTGAATCGATTTTACCGCCCAGTTTTTGCGTAACCAGACCGTAAAGTTTGCTATTTTAACATGGGCTCTTATGGTGACCTGACAGATCTGATCTGAAATTTTAAAATTGTGAGAAAACTAACTGTTGAACATGCTTTTAAAAACTTTTTTTTTTCGTAGCTAGCATCTCGAAGAATCAACATGCGCAATTTGAAGGAAATCTACCGTTTCAAATGGGAGAATTTTTCAAAATTATAAGACTAAATCAGTCCAAAGGGAGACGTTCGCGCGCTTTTTAGAGGGTCGGGACTGCGACGTCCATCTCGGTATCCCCACGGGCGCAGCGCGCTTCATTCAAATCGAGTAACAACTCTTACATTCCTCTAGATCTTCTGGGAGTAATTAAAATACTCTCACTCCTGGAGAACATCGCGTTTGATGGTAACTAGATATTCAGAAAAGTTGGAATTTGATGGATATAATCGTTAGTGCGATCTGAATGAAAATCTTAATTAAATTCTCAATAACTCACTCTGATACTACTCCCAGAGCAAATGGGTGATCTTGAGAGTTTATAGAATTTTTTTAAACATTCAGTACAGTATTATTCTGTATTGTGCCGTATGTCAGTTTTTTGCTCCTAAACAATGATTATTTATTCAATTATTCGAAAATTATTCATATTCTCTTTTTTATTATGGAGATACTCAGTGCATTGCCATAGTCTTTTGCATCACAGTTGCTTACACAGGACTCAAAGCAGCAAACTTTAGCATAGATCAGCACCTCAATCTGAGTGGGCATTCAGTTCAGAACGAAATATACTTTTTAGTGGCTTTAAATGAGTTGCAATGATAAAATATTGTTATGCTGATGTTAATATCAACCATGCATAGATTCATGCAGAGCTGGATTTCCTCCTAGCAAAATTAGGCTTGGGACTCCCATCCCCGTGAGAGGATTTTTTAAAATAAATATTAAAAATTTCAATTTTTTATCTGAATAATCATGTATCAAATAGTTAACTGAACAACGTTTGATTCTAAAAATAAATTGAATGGAACAATAAGAAACTAAACATATATTTGTAGATGAGAAATTTAAAAAACAATGTCTACTTACATGTTAATTTACATCTGTTTTGGAACAATATATCATAATTAGTGCTTTTTAGATTTATTCATAATTAGTTTTCTTAGTTTTAAAGATTTTTCTGAAGGAGTGCCCAGTATAGTTTTTAGCTTCAAGGCCTGCAGTATCTAAATCCGCCCATGGGCAAATTAAATAATTACATTTTATTGAAATTGTAAGAGGAATGATATATTCAGCCTTTGGTAGTTTCACGATTTTAATAGAAACCCCTTTTCTCGTCAGCACTATATTTTATCTAATTGTTTGCATTTCTTGAAGAGTAGTAATGTATTGAATGGTTCTCATGTCCTATTTTCAAAACATTTAAACCTCTTCATTTTGAGTGTAACATTAAGACAAACGATTATTATAAAAGACTATGCCACTTGCAAATCTCTTTTGACGATTTTATCTCCAACAATGTTATAATTTTATTATCGAAGGTCTCAATAATACAGCCCTCAAAATTATATGTTGCAGTAATTTTATTTTATCAGCTTTAGTTTGATACGTTCTTTGGATAATAATCTGGATCTAAATCAATATCATAACATGATAAAAAATTACACTGAAAACCAGCAAATAGTTCCTATGAATTATACAATCGCGCCGCAGGAAATAATATGTCACATCGCAATTGTAAAGCCATTGACTCAGGTAATTCGAGAAATAAAAATGAGAAAGAAACATTGAAAAAATATTTGAAAACTTTATTACGTGCCTGATCTCGTAATATTGGGGGAATTATTTCGTTTTCTCTCAAATTCCGGTTTCGAAATACTCGTAAACCTTTCGCCAATTCGCTCAGATTGTGATATTTACCGCGTGTCGACCAGGCAACGAACAGTGTTCTAAGTGATTCAAAACAACGAAACTTTGAAGCAGCATGAGCCCGGAGCAGTCATGCCAATCTCAAGGACATTACGGCGTTGCCCAATTTACTAAAGACTTTTCGCTTCACTCAAACATAGAAATTTTTGCCATTATTAGCGATCACTGTGCAAAAACATAGATGCGTCTATACTGTTACATTTTATGATTTTGCTCGTACTAATTGTGTAATAGTGCTTTTTTATGTTTAATTGTTTATTCCGTGGCCACACGCTCTGTTGGTACTAGTTAAAAAACTAGTCAACGGAAGCTCTTTGTGATATTAAAATATTTTTATTTTTCATCTATGAAACAAAATTCGCATAAATACATAAAACTCAGCATAACAGTCCCTATTTTGTTTATGTAGGTCTCGCAATACCCACTTAACTTACAAATAAATATTTTTGAACGTAATATGGACTCTATCTACTAGGGAATATCTCGCTCTAACCACCTTAAGAAATTGAATAATCTAAGGTTCGTCCTACCATTGGTTCAGGTAATTCAAGAAATAAAAATTAGAGAGAAACAAACATTGAAAAATATTTGAAAACTTTGTATTACCTCACTGTTCGTGATATTGGGGGAATTATTTCGTTCTTTCTCAAATTCCGCTTTGGAAATAAACCTTCCGCCAATTCGCTCAGATTGTGATATTTACCTCGTGTCGACTAGGCAACGAACAGTATTCAAAGTGATTCAAAACAACGAAACTTTGAAGAAGCATGAGCCCTGAGCAGTCACGCCAATCTCAAAGACATTACGATGTTGCACAATTTATTAAAGACTTTTCGCCTCGCTCAAACATTGAAATTTTTGCCATTATTAGCAATTACTGCACTAAAAAATATAGCTATGTGTCTGTAATGTTGAGTTTTAAGATTTTGCTGTTCTTAATTGTGTTATAGTGCTTTTTTGTGTTCAATCTTATGCTTCAATTTTTATTTCCGTGGTCACGCGATCTGTTGGTACTATTTAAGAAACTAGTCAACAGTAGCTCTTTATGTGATATTAAAATATTTTTAGTTTACATCTATGGAACAAAATGCATCATCATCATCAACAGCAAGGATTAGACCTCTTGGTCTGCTCCGTCTCAGAATTGTTCATGCCATCTCTTCAAGGGACGTCCTACACTTCTTTTTCCTTTAGGTACATATTGAAGAAATTTTTTACTTATTCTATGTTCTGGCTTTCTCAGGACATGACCTTTCCAGTTTTCCTCGATATTTCTTTATGGTATCTATAACCGGCTCAATATTTAGTTCTCTGATATCTACACTTTTTTGTGGTCTAATAGTGAATATCCTGCCACAAAACGATGAAGTCTTATTTCTGCAGATTCAATCTGGCGCAGCTGATCTGATGTTAATGTCCAGCCTTCACTTCCATAAAGTAGTAATGGCAAAGCAATAACTTCGTAAAATCTGAAGAAGTTTTCCTTTTGCGCATTATGATATAGAGTTCGCTGTAACGTTCCACAGAAATATGTGAAGTTGTTCAGCTTTATTTCTATATCCCTTGATTTTAATATATATATATATATAAATATATAATAATTGGAACAGAATAGCATATATAAACAGGGAGTAAGACAGGGATGCCGCTCTCGCCAAAGTTTTTTAATATATATATAAAAAATATAAATAAAAATAATAAATATAAATAGTTATATATATATATTATAGTATATATATATTTTTGTTAATTTATATATATTTATTTATTTATTTATATATTATTTATATTTTTTTAATATATATATTAAAAAACTTTGGCGAGAGCGGGCATCCTGTCTTCATCCCTGGTTTATATATGCTGATTCTGTTCCATTTCTTAGCATTCGGATCATGATTTTATTATTTTATGTATGATTGAATTGCTGTAATAAGATGGGAAGGGAGTCCAATATTTTTCAGTGTTTCCCCATAATAATTTCTTTTAAGGCTATAAATGTTTTACGTAGTCTAAAGACATAGTATGTCGGTAGTTTAAATTTGAAATTTGAGAAAATGACCATGCTTTACAGAATTAATTTTATCTTTAAATTTTATTTAATTAGAACTTTACAAATCAGATGTGGGAAATACAGTTTATATAATGGATCTGTATCCAATGACAGAATACACACTGATTTTAAAACTCTCGTTCGTAACATTACAAACTGTCAGCATAAGAGAGATATGTTCAGAAACTTTGTGCACAATGAAGCAAGTCATTCACTGCACATAACAAAAATTCTTTAAAATTATCTCTGAGTTCTGACCCCTCAAAGTGAACATTAATTTAACGCCACTGGTCAAACTCGTCTAATATGCATGCTTCAGAAGCCATCTCTGGAAGAGGATCTGAAAAGCAAAAAATGCTGTTAAGAAAGATACTATGTTCTCAAATGAATGTTCTGAAAACAATTCTGTATCAAAAAGAAAGAGGTTTCTTTTAATTCACCATTTAGAATTACGAAATTAGAAAGCACAGGAATGTCTTGCACTTACCACACACTGAAGGCGCAGATTCATCTCGCAGAATGGCTTCTTGCACCTGTCCAGAAGTACAAGTATCTGTAATCACCAAAAAAGTTTTTTATTTACTATAATTTTCCCTCAATTGGCACTAATAACTGTATATTGAAAGGAACATAGCATGAGAAACGTCCATAAAAACTTGAGGTGATGCCTCACATGGGTAAAAAAGATCTGAAAATGGAGACAAACTTGAATCTATCCCATCTTCAATAAATGCAACAAAGTAATAATTGAGAGTCTTAAAGATTATAGCAAATATTTACCTTTCACAAGGCTAGAATAAGCAACTGCTGCACTTGTTGTAGCAGCATGTTCAGCAGCAATAGAACCTGTATTAATCAACAACAAATTATTACCAATACATTATGTTTTCAATAGCATGCTTCTTTTTGCACTTTACAAACATACAAGAGACTTACCATTTTCAGTTTGAGAAGCTGCCTGCGTACACGGATCTGAAAATTAAAAAATGCTGGTAACATAGCCTCCCATCAAACTATATATTCTACTAAAACTATAAAAATATATTCTATTAAAACTATATTCAAGTAATATTCTATTAAAAAAGTCTTACCAATTACACCCATTGCTCTAGTGGGTGTCACCTCGCTGGGTCCAAACAAGGGATCTGCAAATGAACATGAACATTTTTAAAAAAATCCACTATTTGTTAGGCGCCCAGATTCTTCTCGAAGCCATAATGCACGCTTCAGACTTCAAACAGCAGTGAATCACTTCATTTCTCTAATTCACTGACTGTGACATGGCGTTAACAGCCCTACGAACACGTGAACAGTGTTGCCAGATGTGTTCAGAGGGATTCCGCCATGTTCGTTTCAGATACCGCCGAAAATCCGCTGCACTGGTTTTAAATTTCCCGCCTAAATCCGCTAAACGTAAAATAAATTATTTTTCCATTTTAAATGTTGTGTTAATTTATTCTATTAAAACAAAAATATGATTGTGAAATGTAGTGGCTTTATTGAACCTGCAATTCAATTTTTAGATAATATAGAATGCATTACTTGGGTGAAAATTTGCAAAATAATAACTGATTTTAGGTATTATGTAATTTATTATAGAAGTATTATATTATTTATTCGTGCTAGTATAACATGGATTTAGAAATTTTAAAAATATACATCTGTGCAAAACAACTTTATTAATACGGGTTAACGAAAACTGATGCTTTACTAAGTTTACTGGTTTACTAACTTGATTGATTTCCGCCTTTTATTCCGCAGTCCGCAAAACTAATTTTTTTCCGCCGTACGAGTTCAAAATCCGCTGCAAATGGTGGGAATTCCGCCGATATGGCAACACTGCACGTGAATATGCAACGATAGGTCGAGGAGGAAGGAATCCAGCGATAACCAACCGGCACGTTTGCGAAAAAATTTCAAAATGAATAAGTAGTTCGCCTATTCATCGCTTGAGCGAGTTGGTGTTGTACAGATGTATATGGCGTCGCTCTGAACTCTGATTGGCTACCGTATGGAATTTGAATAAGGACCGGATGTGCCCTACCTAGTGTCACATCACTGGATCACACTAAATTCAAAGAAGGCAATCGATCAAATAATAATTAACAAAACCACTACTCGATACGAAATTGAAACAAAAGATTTAGGATACAGCGATCACGATGCACAAATTCTTACCGTTATAAGAAATGCGAACACTGACAACGTATGAGTAGATTATTTACTGAAAGTATAAATAAATTTAAAAAAATTTATTCTCTTGCATATTTCCATATACGTTTGCACCTCACTATCACTTAGGCTACCACCAACTTATTGCTTTCACTTCACTGACACTGGAGGCACACAGGGGGCTCTGGATTGTCTGGTGCGTCTTTTCCGTTATTCCGTTCCTGCAGCACGGGGTGGAAACCCTATCCAACAAAATTAATCAAAACGATTTTCTTGAAAATTTTGAAAATGCCCCAGCGGTTTCGTATAAAAAACCGCCAAAAATGTTAAAATCAGTTTCAAATTCAAGGGGCCACGACATCAGCCAGATCTATTGGGGAATATCAATTTTGGAGCAATCCGCTCTTTTTATAACCGCTAGCCTTGTTCACAGACGGACGTTTTGCAGTCATTTGATTTTAGGTATCAATGATCCACAACACACGGATTCTGGCAAACTACGAGTTGGGGGACTTTTGTTTCTTAATTTAGCAACTGCATTATTCACTTTTTCGTTGTCACGGCCCTATTATATTCTATACCAGAGATTCTGATGTGACATACAGAATGCTGCAACACGTACGAATTAAGTACCCAACTATTCCATTTTCCAAGTGCTCCCATTAAATGTTATTTATAAAAAATACATAGATTTTACTGCCGTAGTTGATCAGTTCTTTTCGGACTTTCTAAGACCACAAACACGCATTCATGGTTTTTGGGCGTTTTTGTCTTTTCAGAAGCTTTACCTTCTCCCTTCAGGATTCTTCCTCCGCAATTCTTTCCAAAAGCATATTGCAGCTGTTCAGTGTTGTATTTCGTTTCTTTTCTCATTAGGAGATCCACTATTTCTCCTGCACGGTACTTCGTTGCATACATCAATGCGGTTTCTTCCTGCGGTTCAATGCGGTTGCTGCATTTGGTCGGGGATGCTCCCTTTTTCAGGAGTAATTTAACAGTATCCCAACGACGATTTCTTGCAGCTATCACAATAAGTGGGTCACCACGCTTATCGCACGTGTCTTCTAATCCTCTTGTTCTGAGTAGAAAGGTGCCAATTAAATCCCAACTACAGTTGTTTGCGGCCATTACCATCGCTTTCTCATCAATTTTTGCTTTCTTTCTCAAAAGAGTATACACCAAAAGCGTGTGTTCGTTTCTCGCCGCAAGTGCCATGGGTGTAAACCCGGCAGCGTCTTTGGCGTTGATCTTTGCTCCGAAGTCTACAAGGCGAACGGCAACTAGCCGGTGACCGTTCAGGGCCGCGAGGTGGAGAGGAGTTCGCAATTGGTCGTCAGTGGCGTCGACGTGTATGACTCCGACGAGGACTATCACAGCTTTAATGTGGCCTCGGGAAGCTGCCACGTGCAAGGCCGACACGCCCCGTTCCACCAGCTGTTCTCTGCTTAGAACTGCATCCTCCCCGCTGCTGAGCAGTTCGAGCAGGCCGGCGTCGTCTCCATTTATCGCCAGTTCGATAAAACTCCTAAACCCGGGACCGTGGTGCGAGGACCCTGGGGAGAGGTTTGCTGGGGTAGGTGTGCTAGTGGTAGTGATGAAACTGCGTAAGCTTTGTTGCGATGAAGACGGTGTCATCTCGCCTCTTTGTTGCCTCTTGCCTCGTGATTGCGATGAAGGTGAAGTTACGGGTACAAATGTACTTTGACCCGTGCTGGAATTAGAAGCGACAGGGTTTTGTGGGGGACAGCGAGGATCCATACTAGCTGCTGAAGTACCTTCCATGTCCGCTTTTTAACAGTCTTTCCGTTGAATCGCGTCAGGTTTCACGTTAGTCAACGTGAGCCCCCGGAGGTCAGTCTAGTGGTCGCCTTTCACCTATACAACAGCATCAATAATAATAGATAATTAATAATAATAAATAATAATAATAATAAATAATAATAATAATTAATAATAATAATAATTAATAATAATAATAATTAATAATAATAATTAAATAATAATAATAATAATAATAATAATAATAATAATAATAATAATGCCGGCCCCGTGGCGCAGGCTGTTGCGGTGCGCCGAGAGTCTGCAGGTTCGAGTCATGCTAAGGTATGGTTATATTTGTAATTGTCCCTTCACTCCGACATCATCAATCTAAGAACCCATAATTCATAATTCAAGGCTTAACAAGCTTGTCTTACCAAGGGATAGAGCTGAAAAGCATACGTTACTTTCTCTCCAGGATAGAACATGACTGGGCTTCGGAAGAGAAAAAAGAGCGTTGTCAGAAATGACAGATACGCAAATAATTAGTAATAAATAATAATAATAATAATAATAATAATAACACACAATAATGTACACCGAAGGTCACTTTCCGGAATAAGTACTGGACACCTAAGATAAAAAAGACTAACTTGGGGCGCGCTACTACATGGCTGCCTTATCAAAGAGATGGAAGGCCTGATCATATTAATCCAAGTACAGGCTCCGGAAGGACTAGCGGAAACATGGCCGTTCTAGCCGAAACAGGCTAGGACTATCGTGAAGGCTGTCGCGAAAAACAGCAAAAAGCAATCAGAGTCTGGAGCAGAAATGTACAGTCTCTCTCTACTGACTGAGAGGGAAGAGAGAGACTACTGACATGAGAGAGCAGAGAGAGACTGACTGAGGAGAGAGAGAGAGGAGAGGACTGACTGAGAGAGAGAGAGAAGACTGACTGAGAGAGAGAGAGAGGAGGACTGACTGAGAGAGAGAGAGAAGAGAGACTGACTGAGAGAGAGAGAGAGCAGAGAAACTGACTGAGAGAGAGAGAGAGAGACTGACTGAGAGAGAGACGGAGAGAGACTGACTGAGAGAGAGAGAGAGACTGACTGAGAGAGAGAGAGAGATGAGAAGATGA